GGGGCCGCTTCGTAGGAGTCCGTGGCGGTGTCTCCGTATGTGTGGCTTTGTAGCGTCTTGTGAGCTGTGTGTCCGGGACAGCAGGACTCTGGGTCATCCCGCTCGGGTCCCCGTGAATGTGGGGCAGGCAGTGAGCCTGGGCTCCCTCCAGAGGGCGCCGGGGAGCCACGGAAAGCTGTTTGTTTGCAACCGCTTTATTGGAATAAAATTCAGTGCCATAAAACCCTTCCATTTAAAGCGTGCGGTTCGATGGCTTTCCTAAATTCACAGAGTTGTGCAGCCATCACCTTAATCAACTGGGCAACATTTGCATTAATCCCCAAAAGAAACCTTCTACCCCTTACCAGCCGCACCCCTCCACCCTAACTCCCAAGCCACTTTCTGGCTCGATGGGTTTGTCGGTTCCGGGCATTTCAGAGAAATGAAATCATACAGTATATGGTCTTTTGTGTCTGGCTTCTTTCACTCGAGATCGTGTTTTCGGGCTCATCTATGTTGTAGCGTGAGTCAGTGCTTTGTTCCTTTTTATGGCTGAATATTATTCCATTGTCTTGGAAGGATTTTTTTTTTTTTAATTGAAATGAGGTTATTAACCTATTTTTTAAGTTTATTTATTTTGAGAGAGAGAGAGAAACAGAGCACATGAGTGGGCAGAGGGGGAGAGGGAGGGAGAAAGAATCCCAAGCAGGCTCCACACTGTCAGCACGGAGGCTGATGTGGGACTCGAGCCCACAAACTGTGAGATCGTGACCTGAGCTGAAGTCAAGAGCCTGGCGCTTAACTGACTGAGCCACCCAGGCGCCCCTGTCTTGGAAGGATTTTGAGCACAGAAAGGACAGAATCGGGTTTGTGCTTTGCCTGGGCTGCCACGCAGAGGGTGGATTATGGGGGGTGGGGGGTGATAAGAGTTGGGTCGAGTCCCCCGAAAAAGATACAGTGAAGTCTTAATTCCAGGACCTGTGAATGTGACCTTATTTGGAAACAGGGTCTTGGCAGATATGATCCAGTTAAGATGAAGTCATAGGGTGGGAGAAAATGAAAAGGCTTGACTTGGGGGAAATATTGTGACAAATATATATGTGACATATATAAAGGACTATATGTATCAACCATATATTAAAAAAAATTTTTATTAAGTAAACCACCCCATGTGGGGCTCGAACTCACAACCTCCAGATCAAAAGCCACACGCTCTACCAATTGAGGCAGCCAGGCACCCCTATAAACTATATACATAATATAAATAATTCTTTCAAGTCAAGAAGATGATTCCTTTTTATTTTTTTAATTTTTTTTTTCAACGTTTATTTATTTTTGGGACAGAGAGAGACAGAGCATGAGCAGGGGAGGGGCAGAGAGAGAGGGAGACACAGAATCGGAAACAGGCTCCAGGCTCCGAGCCATCAGCCCAGAGCCTGACGCGGGGCTCGAACTCACGGACCGCAAGATCGTGACCTGGCTGAAGTCGGACGCTTAACCGACTGCGCCACCCAGGCGCCCCAGATGATTCCTTTTTAAGAGTCAAAATACAGGGGGCTCCTGGGTGGCTCAGTCGGTTAAGCATCAGACGCTCGGTTTCGGCTCAGGTCTTGATCTCACGGTTCATGGGTTTGAGCCCCGCACTGGGCTCTGCGCTGGCAGTGGAGAGCCTGCTTGGGATTCTCTGTCTCCCTCTCTCTATGTCCCTCCCCTGCTTGAGCTCTCTCTCACTCTCTCAAAATACATAAATATACATTTTTTTAAAATTTTTTTTTTCAACGTTTATTTATTTTTGGGACAGAGAGAGACAGAGCATGAACGGGTGAGGGGCAGAGAGAGAGGGAGACACAGAATCGGAAACAGGCTCCAGGCTCTGAGCCATCAGCCCAGAGCCCGACGGGGGGCTCGAACTCACGGACCGCGAGATCATGACCTGGCTGAAGTCGGACGCTTAACCGACTGTGCCACCCAGGCGCCCCAATATACATTTTTTAAAAAGAGTCAAAATACTGAATATAAGTTACAAAAAGTAGACCAACAAACGGCTCCTAAGCCCGCGAAAAGATACTCAACATCATCAGCCATCATGGAAGTGTAATCACAATCACAATAAATATCGCAATAATTACCATTAGCCTGGCTGATGAAAGCTCTCATACATGGCTGGGAGGCGCACACGTTGGCAAGACAGCTTTGGAAGACAACTGCAAAGAACCTACTAAAACGGAACCCACGTGCGTCCCGGGACCCAGTGACTCCACTCCTGGGCGCGTACTGCACAGAACTCCACACGTGTGTTCACCAAAAGCCACACGGACCATGTGGTCGTAGCAGCATTAGCTGTAACTGGACCCCGGCCAACTGGCCATCAACAAAAGAATAAATTAAACAAAGCGTGATGAATTCATACAACAGAATGAATACACCACAGCCCCACACAACATAATGTCAGCCAAAGAAGCCAGACACAGGAGGGTCCATTGTTATGAGGTTCTAGAACGGGCAACACTAGGTGATGATGTTAGAGGTCAGAGCGCTGGTCACCCCAGGGGCCTGCGCTGGGGTGGGGAGTGCAAGCCAGCTGCCGGGGGGGGGGGGGGGGGGGGGGGGGGGGCTGGTCACGGTCTGGTTCTCTGGATGGTGACACACACATGTTTCGCTTCCTGGGGAATTTCACCAAGCTGTTCACTTATGACTTGAGCGCTTTTCTGTATGTTATGCTTCAAGGAAAGTTTTAAAAGGTCATTGAGTGAGTGCACACCCACCTTGCATTTTGAAAGATGCTGCGAGATCGAGGTTGTATGAATTCCCCTCAAGGCGGCTGCAAGTTCCTGTTCGCGCACATCCTAGACAGCAGTGAGCATCGTCAATCTTTTTAATCTGGGCCAATCTGGTGGGTGCAAAGCGGTGTCTCCGTGAGGTTTATTTCCTGCGGTTTTGAGAATGTCCAAGCCACAGCCCCCCACCTGGAGTTTTTGTGCGCATTTTGGAACAGACCTAACGCCCCAGATTAACGGATGATAAGAACTTCTGTTCAAGGCCATCAAATTCACCCTTAAGGGGCTGTGACCCCTGGCTCTTCAATTCAGACAAATGCCCTGGTGGCCATATCTGGGCATTAACAGTCTTTTCCCTTCTTCCAGCAGGTTCCCTCAGACTCACCCCGTAGAACGGTTTTATTGGGTCAGAGCCCAGGGG